CCTAATACCAGGATCGGTTCCACAGAAGTTGGCTGAAACCCTTCTCCGAGATAGAATAACCGCAAAGAAAAAGAACTCGAGGTATGTCTTTTCTATGTATATTAGTTCAAATATAAAATCAGTTTTCTTTGGCCAAGCTCACATCCCTTGTTTGCTTTCCTGAGAACTTGCATAATGAAGTTTTATTAGCCCAAATGTTTGCACAGAGACCAATTTAGGCCTTCACACTTATGTATATCAGAAGTGGCGTATTTTATTAGGAAAGAAGATTGACAGACAAACTGGGATAAAGTACTGGCTGAGGACAGGGTTCCCTTAAACCTTCCTACACTGAGGAACACAGTGAGCCAAAGTACAACCCTTACAGCTAGGGCCATCCATGCATGCACACACTGTTATTTCGTGTGAATGCAATGGGACAAAGTACAACTCTGGCACCTTCCAATAAACTTGAAAGTTGTTATTTTTCTCCTAACAACAGTGCCTTGAGCAAACTGTGTATGACCTAGAAAAAAAACCTGGATGCTCTGGTTTAGTCTTTTTTTCTCCCCTTTCAAAAGTGCCTAGTTCTGCTTGCCTACTCTTCTGCTCCAAAATTACCACCTTTCCCTGACACTGTCTAAGCGCTGTAAGTATTATCAAAACAACAATTTTCTCCATGAGGCTGGGAGTGCCTGATATTCCCCAACAATGATTGACGTCCTCCAAAAGTCTTCAACTTCACTGCCGTCCGTGGGCACACGTGTTAGATCTCCAAACAAAAAGTAACTTCAGTGGCTTTTCTGGAGTTGCTAGAACAGCCAGCAGTTCGCATGTGGTATGGTTTGCAGTGAAGAAAGGGAGCTTATAACACAGAAATCATTTCACCAGCATAAGGGTGAAGTCAGCCCACTTACATACGTAACACCAAACAGGTGGTTACAACCTATAACTGCCTTGTGGTATGCTATTAGTTACAAGGAGATTTTATACTTCTTCATTGCCAAATAAATTAATTTACTTAAATTTATGAAGTTTATAAAGACACATAATCAACTCACAAACTCTTTTTCTGGGTCTTTTTTTAAATGAAGGCCACCATATGTGGGCCTTTATTTGTTTTGATCTGTTCTATATTCACAGAAGTTTGCGTTGCAGTTCCCTTCCATGGATACAATAAAATTTGGGCATTTGGTAACTACTATGAAGAAACAGAAATCTTAAAAAATGGAGTTGCATTCATCTTATAGGAAACAATTTAGCTTTTAGAAAACTGTCCCAGAATTACAAGAAAATTTTAATAAATGTATTTTGGTCTCTTATTTATATACTTAGACAGTTCAGTGCCAAGACAGCACTAATTCACAATCTGAAAGTCCCTTAAGAGACCTAGAATTTGATGAATATAAAGTATTGGATGAATATAAAGTATATGGATATAATCACAGCAGTTCAAAATAAGTTAAAGTTAACCCAAGTAAGGTGTAAGATTTACCATCATAAACAAAACCAACCTGCTGAAATCTAGATAAGTCAAATGGGGACACAACTAAATCAAATCAACTTTTCAAATTAAGTATCATTTTTTGAAATGAAACTTGAAATTTAACTTGAAAGAAATATCAAATCAAAAGATGGGGAAAACAATAACCCACCAGTTTTATGATATTAATCTTGAAGAAATATATGAAGATCATTAAGGAAAAAATATGGTCGATGGCCATACAATATCTCCCCTCCAGGAGTTACATAAATAACTTCGCAGTTAGTGATAAAGAACAATTCAGGTCTTTGCTTATGATACATTTACCCCTGTCAGACCACAAGGTCTGACCTCTGGCTTGTCACAGATCTGTATTTGTTACAAATATCGCATGACATACCAACACGACACTTAGAAATAGTGCAGATACATGGAGAGTCATGTAAGAATATTGAAATGGTTCATCCTTATTTCTGTAAGGGAACAGTACGCTGGTAATTTAAAAGGGCATTAAAGATCAAGGAAAAGCAACTTTCAGGCCTAATGTAAATAGAACATTTGCCTTTGTGTCTTTCTATTACCTCTGTTTCCAGAAAAATATTTCTCCCACAGTAATAGAGAAAATTAGGTTAAGTTTTAAAAATACAGAAGCTCTGTACTGTAGCCAAATTAAACTATTCCAAAATACACTGTATTTGTAACTCACTTAACAGTCAGCAAGTTGGCTGCTTGACTTTATAATTTTCTAATAATGCTTTTCAGTATTTTAAGTCAGCCACCCAACTTGTAATCCAATGATATTTTTAACACACGTTGGGAATTTTTTTTTGTTTTGCTCTGTGGTGTTTTTTTTTTGTTTTGTTTTTTGGTGGGTTTTTTTTGTTTGTTTTTTTTTTTTTGGTAAGCAAAGACATTAGCGGTGATCTACTTCTTCCCTCACTATCAAGTAAAAGATTAGGATTTAGCTGATGGCATGGGATGCTTTCTCCAAAAGCCAGTGTAATGAAAACACTGCAGATTTCAAAATCCCACAGCAAGCATGTGATTCAGCATTACACTCCTGCCCTTTCTTCCTTTATCCATTAAAGATGACCATGGACAGGTCCTGAGAGAAATGTCACCCGCTCCTGCTGAGCCGGAAAGACAGCACCCTCACAGTTAGTATTTTCTAAGTGCCCATAAGAAAACATACGTGCGTATCGGAATAGTCATTCTAACCTCATCTCACACGCCCTGCCAGTTACAAGGTGGACGTGACCCCACCGCTCTGAAAAAGGTCCATCCAATGCTGGCACAGAAATGTTCTTCTGGGTAAAGCAACTACTGTTGTGCAATATATAAATACACACAAGCAGCAAAGACACAGCAACTTTTAAATCTCCTTTTTGTCGACTCTGTTAGAACCATTTTCATTTTCAAGGAATGATGGAGGGGCAGATAAAAGTTGTGTGTATTTTTAGTATCTTCTTTCTGTTAAGAGTACAGTTGACTATTTTAAATCAATATCTGTGAGAAAAAGGCTGTTTGATCAGACCAATGACACAGGTATTCCTGAATTTCAAGTCTCCATTCTGAGACTGAGGTTTGTACATGTGGGTAAGTCGCTTAAATGTTACGTTTTCAGGAAGATATGAAATGGAAAGCACAAACATGCTCAAGGGATATTTAAGTATTAAACATTATTTCATAAAACATCTTGAAGGTAGAAAATTATGCATGCATTATATTTACTACTACAATAAATAACCTCAGCCACAGAAAAAGCAAGCCAGTTAGAAGAGATGGAGGGAAGATACATAGAAAAACCCCAATAATCTTCCTTTAAACTTTTAGGAAGAAAGGTAGTTGGGTTTAGTTTTACGTTTCAGGACAGTGGACTTCATCCTAGATCCATTTTTTTCCCCATTTGTGTATTGTTTTTGGACATAACACACGACAACATTCTTCTCCTTGTCAAAGTCTGTAGATAGGCATAATTTTTTAAGGGAAAACATGGTACCATTAATACTGTAATTCAGTGTCTTCCTTTTTTGCCTGGTCCTTTCAGCACCGTTTTCCAAAGCAGGACTGGGAGACATACCAGCTTTTACTGATCAGTAAAGGTTTACATTAGTTTGTTTTAAATACATGTCATTATTCTATTTTCTTGGTCTGACATCTTATTTGAATGTATTAATAGGTATCATGAACAGTCAGTCTGGATTTTTCAGCAAGCATAGCTCAGATCTGTACCATGGCGGTGGTGGTGAGTGAGGGCAGAGGGGAAACCCACTAGTCACTCTTTAGGACAACTTCCTGTGGTTTTTTGTATACAACCACTGCTTTCATTTCTTGCCACTCTGGACTGTCAGCAAACGCCCAAGGTTTGGTAAATTCAGTCCACTGAGGTCAGAGTTCCTTCCTACACACAGGTAATTTTCCCTTGTTTCCATGCGCTGATGAATCATTACTGGATCCTTCTCCCTCCCAGAAATACTCTGGAAAGAGGGAAAACAAACTATGACCCAGAGCACCGAAATTCCACATTGTGGCAGAAGAGTGACAAGTCCTTTAGGGACACGGTCCGTTTCCTCTGCTTCAGCCTCGGCAGGGAGAGCAGAGAGGACAGAAAAACACAACACTGAGTGCTACAACAGACTTGCGGCATTGCTGCTGACCATACTGCCAATTAGACAAATCGTAACACACTAGAGTGTATTCTCTGAAAACCCGAAATCACGTAGCAACTGTAAGAGTATACATTTTCCCAACAGCAGTTCACATGAAATGTATATTTTTGGTCAAAGTCTAATTCAGAGCTGGATTATTACCAAGGTCAGACAAGTTTTGTAGCCCTGGCATGTTAATGGACTATTTCATGATTAATCTGTTTTCATTAACGTACTATGTATTTAAGATTTGCACCTTCACAATCACACAACTCTTTTCAGGACATTTCCAATTGGATGAACCCATATAAGGATTATGACTATTATGCACACACATACTGCTTCACTTGATGTATATGAAGGAGAGAATACCAAATGTACTACTATCTTTAATGAAATACTACTTAGCATTTTTTTCCTCCAGAAAATATATTAGTAATGCAGGTATGCATCTGGTTAGGTAAGAATCCCGGAAACTTTAATGGAATGTGAAAACACAGCTATTTCAGCGCTGTCTGGGCCTTAGAATTTAAAACATTTTCCTTAGATTGGCTCGACATTTTTTAAACTTAATAGTTTCAATTGAAATTATTTTATGTAAATCATTTTCAAATGGAATAAAGATACTTCAAATTATTTAATTTGACTTTTTTCATACTCATCTTTATAAGATGTTAAATATTTGAGACAGAATATTTAGTTGTATAATAATGGCAAATTATGATAAAACCATCAATTACTTTTGCTATACATGCTCAGCCTATACAAAGAATTAAAATGTTAATCGCTGCATTGCAAAACTCACAGATCTTGCTAATGGAAATATATTTTCTAACTTGTTATAAATTATTACATTCTTGGATATTAATTCCATAAAAAGAAATACTTACTACTGTGCACAGTCTATCAGTTGATATTCGTTCGACCTCTCGAAGCATGCCTTTACGCCTTCATCATCCCAGAGCTTTTTTGCATGTTCAAAGAATTCCTGAAAATTGGAAATGCAACAAATAAGGGAACATTTCTCAATCTTTTCAATCCCCAATCTGTATGTGTTGCTTCTTCACCTCAACCTTCATGCTTTATACTTTCACAGAATGATAGATTACACCTTTAAAGAAGAAAAGCAAAAAACACTTATTAGCAAAGTTGCAGTAAAATATACTGAACATATGGCTGCTGACAGTTTCCAGTACATGGTATGTAATGAAGACTGTCTTCAAAATTCACACCAGTCCATATACAAAATTTACTGTAAGTTACCTCGAAGCATGCTCACTTAATTTTTAATTGAATTTATACTTCTGTCATGGAAAAGGCATAAAAGTGATGCAAAAAGCTGCTCAGCTTATAATCATTAGCTTCCCAGAGAAAGAACCAGTTTGTGACTTTAAAAAGGTTGTGTAATTTTTCCTGAAAAACACAACTTTCCGCTGCTTGGTATTTTCTCATGCAACATAATAATTTGATTGCAAGACTTTCACAATCTTTGCTCAACACTGCTTCCTCCCAGCAGCCAGCAGCCTGGCACAACATGCTTTTCGTAGCTGCTATCCCAAGCATCCCAATCCAGAAATATCTGCTGGCAAGCTTATTTCAGAATTATTTGAACGAGGAACCAAAGCCATCCTTGGTGACGGAGAAGCCATAGCTCTGTTGTATAAGACGCACGTAGGCAGAGCGGTAGGTCTGACCCTGCCTGCTGGCTGCTCTGCTCCTCCAGCCCTTGCCATAGAGCATCACACGCTCCAGCTTGTTTCAAAGCCAGGAGTCCATTTTATGTTGTATCATTACCGGTACGTCAAACCGTAACTGAGTTTTTCCAGCTAAAGCTTTCTAAAAATCAAACCAAGAATGGCTAGACAAATTAATACTTCCTTTATTATACGACCGAGTCTTTCCTCCCCCAAATCAAATTGTTAAAGTAGCATGTCAACTTAAACACTGAAGTTGTGTGTAATCTCTTAACACCTCAGCATGGCTACTAAATCATCAGAGTCCTTTGGTCAGTCATAAATTTACGAAACCCAACAAATGGCTTTTCCACAGTTAAATCTGGCTGTGTGTAAATTAGGTGTAATACCACTATTCACTTCATAAGCCTGTCAAAATGTTGTATAAATACCTGAATTCTGAAACTTTCTGAAATTGTTTGCCAGTCCCTCCCCACATGTTTTCAGGATTAAAAACTTCTCTCAAAAGACAAAGTTCATAGCGAAAGATCTTGGTAGCACACAGAGTTCAGTTTTACGCTTTATGGGTTTCCCAACCTTGCGCACCAGCCCTGGGTGGTGCCCCAAAAGGTGACACTCTGCTCCTCAGCAACTGCCTGTGACCTGCTGGTGACGTTTTCAGGGAGAGGCAAAACACAAGACAGGATTTTCAGAACAAACTGTTACTGAAAATTATTTAGTTAGGATTTGAACATGGCTACAGAGGTCCTGAATAAACCCAGAAATGCTTTTTTCTTTCAAAGATATTGTGAACAATGTAGGGAGAGAGAAAAATCCATTCTTTAAGGAGTTTTCAAAACTTCAGAGAAAAGGACATGGTGCGGCAAACGTGAAAAACCTTCACAGAAAGTCTTGGAAGAAGAGAGGAAGCAAGACTAGAGATTGGCAGATGCTTATACTGCCCTTGGAATTTATTTCTTCACTATCTTGAGGACATGTTTATTTTGTCTTTGTTATTTTAACGACTTATGTAATGATTGTTTAAAATACTGGCAGATCCACCTTTTGAAGTTATGCTACAGCTATTATAAACTCTCTGCTCCTACAGCAGAAGGAAAGCAAAAACAAGCTCAAGAAAGGACAAGATATCAAACTAAATAAACAGAAGGAGAAAGCGGACACATAAACCAGAGAGCATGACTACAAGAAAAAGAAAGAACTGGAAAAGTCAAAATGATAAATACCAGAAAACATGGAACATTCCTCAAACTTGAAGCTTATGCTTGATTGATATTTAGGGCATCAGCTGAATGCATCTCCCTTGCTGGCATCTTCAGCAAAATGCTGAAGCATTGCCTTCTCAATGGAAAGAGCGAGCTCTGGGTAAGCATCAGGGTCCTGAGGCTAAAGGACCCAGCTCTCCCACCCCCTTCCATGGGTGCGTGTACAGCAGTGTACAACCTCAGCCCTCCCTCCCTACAGGTGTGGGGGCCGAGCGTGGCGTGCCCAACCTCCCCTCCTCACCATCAGTGGGTGGGAAGGTGGGAATTCCCACCCACCCAGAAAGCCATCTCTGAGGGGTACCTACATCTAAAAAAAGGTCCCATTCAGCTCCATGCAGCCTATGGGAAGGGGATGGGAAGAGAAGGATGCCAGTATGAAACCTTCCTCTTCTGTGGGGTGGGATGGATTGAGAGATGGCTGCAGACTTATTAAATAAATAAGTAAATACGCAAATAAAAAAAATTGCATAGCTACAGCAGTTTCTAACTTCACTCTGTTTTAAAATCCTCTGTATGAGCTTTATTTACTCTTAAAAATCTCTTCTGGAAAAGAGGCAATCTTTTCAGCTCAGCTTCTGAGACCCTACAAATATGTTGTAAATACAGGGTTTCCATATTATATGCTTCAAATATTTCCACCTGACCATTATATCTCAAAGCACTCTATTTAAAACAACTTCCCAACTTCTAGTCCAAAGCAAATCCTATAAAACGGAGCAAATACACTTACCTCATTAAAATGTACCGATCTACTGCAGAGGAGTACACTTGCCTGCAAATTGCCTCCCACACAGCTACCCGATCCTTCTTTCCCAGGTGACTAAAGCCTTCCAGAAAAATCCTGCTTCGTTTCAAGACACCAAGCACCATGATCCAACTTTCACACTTGTTTTTAACTCCCTTCTTGTCTGCTCTAAGTTCTTCAGTATTTTTTCTCCTCAACTGCTGAAGGCTCCCATTGCACACAGTCAAGCACACAGGAGGAGCCTGCTCACACGTACCAAACACGTCTGGATCCCAACCTACTCTCCATCGCAGGACAAGATCCAGACAGCAGTCATCACGTTCGCTCAACCTCTGCAGCCAAGCCCCCTTTGCCTGACTGGCCTTCCAGCAACCGCTCCCCGATCCCCAATCCCCATGACTTGTTCCTATAGACCCCAATGCTTGTCATCTCTTCCTCCCGCCACGGCCACATCATGGCCACCTCACTGGCAAGCAGGCACTGGAGACCTGGGGCTAAGCCTGCCCTGCAGCACCTGCTCTTGGGGATGCAGTACCCTCAGGGTGGCAGCCACATTTGGCAATGCCTGTTGCGGGGACGGGCCAAGGTAACTCAAAGGATGGATAATTCAGATTTGCTCCAGCTGGTAAAAAACGATGGGCTAAATCTTTCCAGGTAATGTCTCTGGGGGGCGGGGAATTACATACAGAACACTACCTTAAGTCAGTACAACACAGATGAGGCTTTAAGAGCAAGTTGTGACCGTAGCAGCTTACATGCCAAGATGGCCAAACTAAGATTTGCTTCAGGGTTCTGACCTCTGGAAAGTGGCTATTCAGAAGTTCTTAAAAGTCACGAGTCACATCCTTTAAGAAACCTCAACTGGGACAGAAGAAAACAGCGCCATGGAAAATCACTAAGGCCATCTGATGCAGCTGACCTCTGTTGGATCAAAGTCACCGAAATCTACTAAAAATTTTGAGTATACTTAAGAGAACAAGGAATAATGTACTATGCCTGAAAGCAGAAAAACACCTTCACCATGACATGCCTATGAAAACCTACAAAACAGTGCTATTTCATCCAATTTCTTCCTTAGAGACAGAGGTATACAAATCTTTGCCCTTATTAATACACATATAAAATAAAACCATTAATATATATATTTTTATATAGTATTTTAATTAGAGCATTAGAAAAGTAAATGATGCTGCCTCAGGTCTCATGAGTTACAGGTCTCATGAATTACAGGTACTTTTTACTTTACACACATTAATTTACACCAGTTACCTAAGAATTCATAGCAATCATTAGGCCATACAATACCAGTATTTTGATGTGATCAAAATGAAGATGTGACAGACAACATCTCAAATATTTCCTAATATAAAATTACCTGGAAATTTTCTGTTCTTCCTGAGACAGTCCAAAAAACTCAGCCCTGCATTCCTGAGCTTCCTTTTCACTAGCAGGTGAAAGGTATTTTTGGTACACATATTTATGTGTGTTACATTATTTATGCTATAGTGTTCATAAATCATCTAAAAATCATGAAGTCACATAAGCAGGTTATGCTTCCTTTTTTTTTCCCCCAAATAAAGTTAAGATGTATCTAAATGTATAAACACCCTGAGCTGATATCACTGACGTAAACAGTATTATATTTTTACTATGTTTTAAGAAGGTCTTGTAGAAATATTTTTACTCACCTATTCCAAGGTAACATTTTTAAGTTGAAAAAAAAAAGGAGGGAATATATTCCTATACAAAACATTCCAAGGAACCAATACAGATAACAAATGCAGATGCACTACAGCTAAGTCTCAAAGCACTGTTTTTCAACTTTGTCCTACCAGAAGTTACAGCATGTTCTTGAAATTTAATTTTCCTTATTTTGGAAATAAACTTATTTATTGGTAGGTTACCTTGGAAACCTCCTCCCCCTTAGAACTCCTACAAAAAATTTTCAAGTAGCTAAAAAATGGACTTGTTTCACTTTTCAGCTGCCTAAATTGGGAATAAATATTAGTGATAAGTAAACAATGAGATATCTCCACGAACAGATCTTTATGTATTTTGGAAACAGAACTTTTCATTTAATTGCTTTACAAACCACAAAAGTTCATGTTAGGTTGGGAACACAATTTTTATTCTATTAAGATTCCTTTCTGCCTTCCTTCCAGATGGAGCATACATTTAATAGCTATCCTGATGTCACCTTTCGGTTTCCCAGAAACTGGGATGTGGAAGGCTCCACTGTATTTTCTGTTATGCATATTTCTTCTGTTAATGTATTGTGAACCTGGAA